TCTGCCGCCCTGTCTCGCGGACGGGCAGAATCGGTACTTGGGGCCCGTGTTTTGCGCGCTAAAAACGGGCTCTTCGGAAGCGGTTTCCTTGAAGCTGGTTCCAGCTAAGCCCGGCGTCGCACTTGGCTGCGGCGTCGCCTAGATTTCTGCTAATCTGTGCCAGCGCTCCCATCTATTTCCTTTTTTCTTTGTTGAAAAGCCGAAAGTACCGGCCCTGCAGACTCCGCCAGAGTCTGAGTTTCGCTGCTGCATCCCCCTGGGGTTGTAACATGCCCTTCGATGCCCTGTGTTCGACCAGCCGGGAGTGGATTAGAGACCTGTCCGGTTCGAGTCCAGCGTCTCTGACCAGGACTCTGCAAGGCAGTGCCTGCACTCCCGGGAGCCTCGCAGCAGGAGGCTCCCGGGGCCGGGCTGTTTCCCTGGGGACGCGGAGACTGGGCAGCGGGGCCAGGTGTCACCACTGACCTGCACCTTGCGGTGCCCTCTGTGCCGAAAGAGCGTCTGAGGGTCCCAGCGTATGCCCAGGGAAGAGGAGGCCGCCTTGAGCTGCTCAGTCGTTCTCAACGTTTGCCTAGTTTCAGTCTCAAACAGAATACGGGTCACCTAGTTTACAAAAGTTCGCATCTGTGCTTCTGCCTCAAAGTAAGCAACCCAATGCTTAGACAGCTGAGGACGGCGTTTGTCCTAGAGTTATTCCGTCACAGAGATTTCAGCAGCGTGATATACTTTAACGAATATGGCATGTGACATGATATCATTTCTGTTTTACTTACGGGTTATTTTGCAGAGTGACATGCTCGATGGGAAAAAAGATGTGTGGCCTATATTAATAGGAAAATGATTTTGGGGGACAGACTATCTAAAAAAGAACTGTGGACCTGGGAACAAGATGGTTCGGGCATGACGGCCAGGCGAGAGCTTTATGAAATCATGATTCTTTTCCTCTGAGTGACAAGTAAGTCGGTGAGAGGCAAGGAGAACGTGTTGGGACCCCAAACTCCCCATGCCAGGGCTCCCAATGAGAGCCAGGCAAAGGCACCAACAGCCGGGTCACAGCTCCAGTCTGCATGCTTAAAGTAACACCATGGAGATGAATATACCATTTTCTCTGTTGTCTGTTCATGTATTTGCTCTTCCTTGAAATGAAAACGTTCTAAAGTTACAGTTTTCCATGATGCTTGTTTAATTCATTTTTCTCAACTTAGGCGAAAAAACCTTACATGGTCGTATTTCTTGTTCTTATATATCTGCTTAGTCTTTAAATTTGGTTTAAAAATCTAATTATTTTTTATTTCACGAAGAGCTTTTGTAAAATTATTTTTTCCCAGTAAAAACTAAGATTTAATTTTAGCTGGGTGCGGTGGCTCACGCCTGTCATCCCAGCACTTTGGGAGGCAGAGGCAAGAGGATTGCCTGAGCCCAGGGGTTCAAGACCAGTCTGGGCAACTTGGTGAGACCTTGTCTCTACAATAAATCAAAAAAATTAGCCGGGCATGGTGGTGTGCGCCTGTGGTTCTGGCTACTTTGAAGGCTGAGGCAGAAGGATCGCAGGAGCCCAGCAGGTCGAGGCTGCCGTGGATGTGAGCGTGCCCCTGCACTCCAGCCTGGGTGACAGAGTGAGACTCCAACTCCAAAAAAAAAAAAAAATGTCATTAGGATCTATGACTAGAAAAGCAAGCAGTAGTTGTGGACAGAAGAATAAGAATACAGACTCTTTATTTTGAGCCCTGCTACGGAATTTAAATCTGGTGCTCAGGATAAAACGTTGCCTCTGGTGTCTTCTTCCCATGATTACAGTGTTAACAGAGGCATTCTTAATGTTCCCTCTTCAAATGAGAAGCAATATGTTTAAATTGCTTTCTAACATGGATCCCTGAAGCCAGCATTAGAGAACATGTATTCAAGAACTTAATTGGCAGGTATCCCACACTTCCCTGCCCAAATGCATAGGATATGGTCAGTTAGTAAAGACCAACCGAGTCTGGCACGTGTGTGAGGCATAAGAATTCCATGCCACTGGTTTATAAACAACTGTTTCCCGAAAGGCAACTTCTGGTACACAAAAGTAAAACAGTCCTCTTTTTACATCACTTTGCATAAAGATTTACACACGTTCCGGGGCCTGAGAGCAAAGGTCTAGGTGACAAGACATCCTCTAGAGAAACTGCTTTCCTAGTGGTGATCAGTGACACGCGAACACCCAGTGGGTGCCGCCGGCTGGCTCTGCTACATCAGCCTGGGTTTAAAAGCTTACTTTCTGTTAACAAAACACACATGGATGGGCTCCCCTGGTGTCAGGAGCCCGTGGGTTTTTGCGTGAACAGCTTTGGTCTGAGAAGATGTTTTGAGCTCAAAACGCTGAAGCAACTAAGAGAGAAAGAGAGAGGACTCAAAATTAGAATGGCAGAAACTCTCGTGCTCTCCAGACGCATTCACACCTCCTGTGGTGACACTGGGCTGCAGGAAGCCCAGGCAATGAGGGCCCGTGTCTACTTTTGGAGGCCACGAGGCCTCTGGGTCAGTGGGATGCCCGCTGTTGGGAAACAGAGCTTTAGATCCTGCGCAGCAGCCTGCCACGTCCACTGAGCGACCGTGCAGCCGGTGTGACAGAGAGAGGCAGAAAGAAAGCTCAGACGACCTGGGTTTCATGAGCTATTTCAAGACTCTCACTCCGCCGCTTCCACTTCCGCTTTAGGTCTCGATAAAGAAGGTATTGATGGAGCCCGGAGAAATGAGGAACAAAGTAAAATTCCAGGTTTCCTGCTGGTTCTGCGTCTGCAGCCATCACAGACAGCAGCCGCCCAGACCCAGCAGCAGGGAGAGCTGAGTCATCAAACAGACTCCATCGTGCTAATGTGCTAAATTTAAATATTCTTGATTTGTACCTTTGAAGCCAGTTCTCATTTCCTTGGTTCAAAAGTAGAACCAGCCCTACCTCCCAGGGTGAAACTGAAGAGTGCCCACACAGTGAGCTCCAAAGAACATCAAAGTGTCTCTCGCCCAAGGGCCAACGGGCCAGGCTGATGTTCAAAGTCAGCCCTGGGCTGGGGAACAAGAGGCAGCCTGTGTTAATGACTTCTGTCACCTATGGGCTCCTGGAGGGGAGGGAGAGAGCCTTGCCTTCAGCCTATTCTGACAGAGCCAGAGGCAGCCGAGCTAGTGACATCACAGCCTTCTGCTTGTGACCTCAGACCTCCACGGTCATCTGTTTGCAACCCCCGGCATCCCCCGGCAGAGACTCCTGGCCTGACGCTTTCCAGCTTCATCTCCCAGGATGGGCTGGGGCTCCAGGATGGAGTCTGGTAGGGGTCGGGGGGTGGAGGTCAGGGGTCAGGGGCCGGGGCTGCCGTGGGAGCATGTGCTGAACCCATCCCTTTGTCACTGTGAAAGGACGGAGCTGGGCAGTATGTCTTTAGACAGCTCCATAAGGCGCTGGCATCAAGATGGCTCCGTCTAAGCATCTAACCTCTGACTGTCTCACTGACCTCACAGAATGGCCTGTTAATTCCCAGGCAGCCGAAGAACACACACAGGGGTCTCCTCCAGGTCATCATGCCACAGGGTCTTTTTTTCTTTCCGAGTGGCTTGTTTTTTGGAAAAATTAAAACTACACAGTGGACATAAAAACAAAAAGCACAGCCTCCTCTCCCACTTGATGTCTCCAACTCCCAGGGAGCTGGAGTGAATCTTCCAAACGCCACTGGCATCCTCAGAGACTCTCCTGGGCTGCTCCCACAGGGTCTGGCAGGAGGCCGGGGGTGGGGGAGAGGTCTGAGCAGAAAGTTTCCAGAGCAGTAAGATCCCACAGTTCCCCTTCTTTCTCCTAAAGCCCGTCTTTGTCACAAAACTCATGCAGAAGAAAAGGGGGCCTGTGCTCTTTGCCTGGAAACAAAGACGGCCCCAACAGAGAAGCAGATTCCAATTCAGCCACCACCGAACGTCCCGGTCCCACCAAACTCACGCCTTTGGGAATCAGATACCCGACAATGACCAGGTCTTCCTGGGTGATCCGGCCGTTCCCCGGCAGCACTGGAAACAGCCTAGAAAGGAGTCAACGGAAGCAAGAATGCCATGGTGGCCTTGCAGCATTTGATTAAACATTTAGAAATCTGGACACGGCCGGGCACAGTGCCTCAAGCCTGTATCCCAGCACTTTGCAAGAGACAGAGGCAAGAGGATCGCCTGAGCCCGCCACGGGTTTGAGACCAGCCTGGCAACTTGGCGAGACCTCATCTCTACAGTGAATCAGAAAATTAGCCGGGTGTGGTGGCGCATGCCTGCAGTTCCAGTTACTTGGAAGACTGAAGGAGAAGGATCACCTGAGCCCAGCTGGTCGAGGATGCGGAGCCATGAGCGGGCCGCTGCACTCCAGGCTGGGTGACTGAGTGCTCCAACTCAAAAAAAATTTTTTAAAAGAAGAAATCTGGATATAGTGCCATTTCCATTAAAATTCTTAAAAAGTAACACATGGTACAGCTTTTCAACTAAAAAATGTTGCAAGAACCTTTGTGACTTCCTGGTTTTGCCAGCCAGCATTCTTAGAAAGGTGACAGAGGTACCAAGGGCCAAAAGTTTAGCAAAAGACAAAGCAAAGCCTTTAACATGCTGTTGTGTTCTCAGGAGGGAGAATTCCAAGGTTCTGGGATTTTCTGTGATCGTGGGACCACTAGCTAGGAAGAGGTCCTAGGACTCCATGAAATACACTTGGAGAAAGGGCACTTCAGCTGTCGAGTGTCTCAGAGGGCCAGCCCTAAGAATCCCTGCATAAAACCAGTTGGCAGATATCAAGAGACAACACGGCCAGCTCCTTCTGTTTTATGTTTTGAGACTCAGCAGCATGTCATAGGTTAGTGTGGTACAAGCTGCAGGATCACTATCAAATCAGCTCTGACAGGAAAGACTCCTTCGGCGTGCGCTGTGGAGAGTTGTCTTTGCTGTCACGACAGTCCGTCTTGGAGGAGCGCTGTGTGCAGGGGAGGGAATTTCCCCGGCCCCCAACCCGCCTCCACACCACCCCCACCAGGGCAGCCCACGCCCCCTTCCCAGCTCTTCCAGTTGTCACTAAGCCCTGTGCAGAGCCTCCCTGTGTGGTGTGGCCCTATCCCCGGCCAGGGCATCACTCAAGAAGCACAGGGTTTGCAGACAGGCTTGGAGAGGAGCCAGACAGCCCAGGGTATTTTCCTGACAGGTCCCTCTCATTCCACCTCCTCTTCTGAGAAGCAGAATCAAAGGGGATTGACCCAGGAACACACTGGGAAACCCTGAATGAGCCAACTGGCTGAAGCAGGGGCCGCGTGAAACGACTGCTCCAAAGAACTGTAGGAAGAACAGGGACTATTTCAACCCATAAGTCAAACAGCCTTTCTGCTCTTCTGGCAAGAGCAGGGAGGACACAGACAGTCACGAGTATCCTCCGCATACACAGCTCAGCCACTGAGGGCAGCTGGAGGCTTTGTCATGATGAAGAATCAGGGGCTTAAAGACACAGTTTGTTGACACTGATTTTGGTGAGCCTTTACCTCGGGGCTTCCTTCAGGAGAGCCCTGGCCAGAGGGACTCTGGGGACGTCCGTTGCGGTGGGAACATGCCTTTCCCCCAGATTCTTGACGATCTCCTGGTGCACCGTCTGCTGCACTTCTGGGTGCCTTGCCAGGAGATACACCGCCCAGGATAAGGTAAAAGATGTCTGAGGAGAGAGAGGAGCAGACACAGGCCAGGCGGCAAGTGACACCAAGGACAGAAACAGCAGGCTGCACCGAGTACGTCCGGGGGATAAGGGCGGGGCAAAATCACACCCACACCATTCGCTCAGTCTTTAAGCCTTCCCCAAACAAAAGAGCCTTTTCCTTCGTTAAGCCAGAACAACTTAACAATTGCTTTTGGGAAGTAATGTCAACTCTGCGATTCGAGTGCGCTTGTAATGAAGAACCACAGGAGCCGGGCTCGGGGGCTCAGCCTGTCATCCGGCGCCTTTGGGAGGCTGAGGTGAGTGGATGGCCTGGGCCCGCGGGTTCGAGACCCGC